AGGGTTACATTGTTATGAGCCGATTTCCGATTAGGGTGTGCTCAGCGGCTTGACTAGGGTGGGGCAGCGCCTTAAGCAATAAACAGGTCCTGTGGGGGTGATACAGGAGGTGGCGGGTGTAGCACAAAATGGAGTTAGTCCTGCTCTGCTTGTCCAGGGGCAGGGGATTTTTGTTAAATTTCCTGGGTTCCACAAATTAGATCTATAATTATTTAGATCAGCTCAATAGTGTTTTTACCTTATGGTTTTCTAGAGCTAGGTTCCTTTTTTTTCCCCCTGGCATAACTCTTTTGGGGAGGGTTTTTTTCCCCATTGGTATTTTGTACTTGATGCTAATTTTCCCCCAGACTCCTTCATTTGTCCCAGCATTCTTTCAATACGTTCAGACTTGTTAAATATTCATTCTTAGAGAGGTCTTCTGTTTTGCTGTGTTCCAGTTTGGATTGGTTTACATTCTAGATTTGCTACCCAACTTGTTGGTTTGGTGTATCCTTTCAAGTGTCATGTTGTGTTAATCTCCTAACTTCCTTCTGGATTCATCACCTCTACCTAACTTCCTGAGAAAAACGTGGGAGATAAAGCTCTTGAGATCTTGTATGTCTTGTCACACTCAGTTGTTAGGTTAGCTATGGACAGAGTTCCAAGTTGGGGATAATTTTTCCTTAGAATTATTTTGAAGGTATTGGCCCATGGTTTTCTGTCGTCTTTTTTTTTTTTTTTAATTTCATTTATTCATGAGAGAGAGAGAGAGAGGCAGAGACAGAGGCAGAGAGAGAAGCAGCTCCATGCAGAGAGTCCAATGTGGGACTCGATCTGGGACCTCAGGATCATGCCCTGGGCCAAAGGCAGATGCTCAACTGCTGAGCCACTCATGCGTCTTCTAAATGTTCAGAAGTGCAGTGCTATTCTTTTTTTTCCTATGTGTCCATTCCTCTTAACTCCCACCCCAGACATACTAAGATACTCTCTATGTAATGTTTTGAAAATTTCCCAGTGATGCACTTGGGAATGGGTCATCCATTGTTCTGAGTACTTTAAACTTATAAGTATGGAATATCAAGTTCTTCAGTTCTGGGACATTTTCTTTACTTATTTGTATATTCCCACAACTCGTTTCTCTTTCTGAAAATTAAGTTACTTGGATTTTGGACTTAATGGGTTAGTCTCCTGATAGTCTTATATTTATTCTTCTATTTTTCATCTTTATTCTTCCTTCTGGGAGAGATTTCCTAAACTTTTTTTTTCTATCATTTTATTTTTTATTTTATTTATTTATTTATTTTTTCTATCTTTTTTTTTAAAGATTTTATTTATTTATTCATGAGAGACAGAGAGAGGCAGATATACAGGCAGCAGGAGAAGCAGGCTTCTTGTGGGAAGCCTGATGCAGGACTTAATCCCAGGGCCCTGGGATTACACCCTGAGCCAAAGGCAGACACTCCAACCACTGAGCCACTCAGATGCCCCTCTGCTGTCATTTGTTTACGTCCAAAAGCTCTTTAAAAAAAATATTTCTGGGACACCTGGGTGGCTCAGTGGTTAAGTGTCTGCCTTTGGCTCAGGGCATGATCCTGGAGTCCTGGGATCAAGTCCCACGTTGGGCCCCCTGCATGGAGCCTGCTTCTTCCTCTGCCCAGATCTCTGCCTCTCTGTGTCTCAAATGAATAAGTAAAATCTTTTAAAAATTTCAAAAAAATTTTGCTTTAATATCTTTCATATTAAAGACATTTTCAAATTCTTGGTTATCTGCTCTTAAGAGTGGGGTCCTAAAAAGCAGATTGGAAAGTCTTCTTGGGGTGGGGCTTACTCAACATGGGCTTCTCTCCTTTATCTGGCTGAATTATCATATTGTTACATAGGAACATAGTTCTGTTATCTAATTGTTTACATAGAAAATCCTTGATACTGGTATTTTTAGATCTTTAATATAGGTAAGATTCCCTCAAGAAGGCGTGTATATCCATCCAGCTGGCAGATTTCTGCCAGTAAGGTGGGGTAAGAAGGCTTTGAGGTTCAACCTTCAGTACATAAACTTTAACTTTTTCAGTAAGGTAACCAAGGCTTTTAACCCTGCCTGGTGCTCTCCAGTTAGGATAGGGTTTACCCTCTCAAGTCTTGTACCAACTTTGAGGAGGAGCAGTTCAGTGGGGGTACACAGAGGGGGAGGAGCCAGGGTTCTTTAGGCTTCTTACAGTCTCTTTCTTTCCTTTTTTTTTTTTTTTAGATTTATTTATTTATGAGAGACACACACAGAGGCAGAGACATAGGCAGAGGGAGAAACAGGCTCCATGCAGGGAGCCTGATGTGGGACTCAATCCGATCCTGGGATCACACCCTAAGCCGAAGGCAGATGCTAAACTGCTGAGCCACCCAGGCATCCCAGTCTTTCAACCTATCCTTTTTAGCTCCACCTTCACCTCCACATTCAGTTACGTGGTGTCGTGGGTCCAACTTGAGCCCTTTTGGGAGGTTTGTGATAGAAATTCATTTTCTTTCCTATTGCTAGCTTTAAGATTCATCTTTAAGTTATCATTCATCTGAAAACTTCCCAATTTTTTTTTTTTTAAGATTTTGTTTATTCATTCATGAGAGACACAGAGACACAGGCAGGAGAAGCAGGCTCCACACAGGGAGCCTGATGTGAGACTTGATCCCGGGACTCCAGGATCATGCCCTGGGCCAAAGGCAGGCGCTAAGCTGCTGAGCCACCCAGGGATCCCCAACTTCCCAATTTCTGAAAATTTTTTCATAGTGCATTCTTGTGAGTTACTGCCTTTTACAAATTTACTGTTTTTATTATTAAATCGTAATTTTAATATTTACTATTCTAGTAAGGTTTGAGAAGGGAAGAGAGGCTGTTGTGTGTACGGATTCTCTCACACGCTGTCTTTATCTGCTGTTCTGCCTGAAATGGGCATACCATACTCTTTCAGGCTAACCTACCTAATTCCACCTAGACACAGGAGCTGGGCAGGACCTCCTCTTCCTTTCTTCAGTTTTTGCAGCACACAGTGAAAATGAGAGAAAACGGAGTAAATGACCTTGGAAAATTTAACTATTATACGAAGCCTAAAGTGTTGATGTCCCGGTTAAAAACTTCTCCAGTAAGAACTTTGAAATGGTCTCGCCTTTCTTTGTTCCTGACTTTGCTTTAAAACAAACGTGTGCTTTTTTGATAGCATGTTGTACACTCATTTTACTCTATTACTAATATCACAATCAAGAGCTTTATACTCCAGGTATGTGGCCCAATTTTAAGAACTGGAGAATTTAATGGAGATGATCTCACCTGCACCTTGATTTCCCTGTCTAGTTTATTGTCAGGGGAATACCTATAGTTTTCCCACTTTATTTTCTTCTCAAGCAAGTCTCTTTCCCCAGAATCTCCTTTCCCGTTTAAGCTGGTTACTCTGCGTTTAAAAGCTGCATCCTAAAATGAGGCAAAACAGTCTTTTTGCCTCCACCTGTTTCTCATACAGTAAGAATTAGAAAGCAGGTGGAACTAGGCTGAGATGCTGTTCCCTGATAAAGTTTGGGCTAAGGTATGGATTTGGTGCCTGGAGACGAGGCAAAACTGGTTATCCTGACATGCCCTCACACTACAACAGAGCTGGAGGCCTTCCACCTGCCCTGCAGCACGGCCGGTCTTCTTTAGGTGCTTCTGACTCCCGTCATAAAAGTTTTCATTCTTCACCAGGTTCGGTTCACGACAGCTGTTCCTAGCTTCTTGGCTCTACTCTGAGCGGTACCTACGCCTTTTAGTCGCAGAGCAGGCGATTCTGAGTACAACCTGCTGGATGCAGCCAGGTCGCTGGGCAACCGGCTCAGAGGGCCGCGCAGGGGGGGCGCGGGTCCAGAGCGGTGAGGAGGGGACCCGAGGACCCCGCGCCCCTGGGCAGGAGACTCAGAGGGCCGGAGGACGGGGGGGGACCCGAGGACCCCGCGCCCCTGGGCAGGAGGCTCAGAGGGCCGGGCAGGGGGGGGACCCGAGGACCCCGCGCCCCTGGGGAGGAGGCTCAGAGGGCCGGAGGACGGGGGGGGGACCCGAGGACCCCGCGCCCCTGGGCAGGAGGCTCAGAGGGCCGGGCAGGGGGGGCGCGGGCCGGAGGACGGGGGGGGGGCCCGAGGACCCCGCGCCCGCCGAGCGTGTGCAGGCGTCGGAGGCGGCTCGGCTCCGCCCAGGGGCGCAAGGGCGGCCCGGCGTCGGGTGAAGCACCGATACCTGCGCGCCTTTGCGCCCCAGGAGCTCCTAAACCTCTCCAGCCCGCATCTCCCCTCGACTCCAAAGCACACCGGCCCGACCCGCCCAGGCGCGAACTCAGCCGCCCGCCGCCCGCCGCCGCCGCGCTGAGGAGCAGCCGCACGCCGGGACTCGCGCTCTCCTGCTTTACGGCAAGGCTGCGCGCGTTTGCGACAGCGTGACGCCGGCAGGGTTTTGGCGGGAAAAGCGCTGCATTTGGATTCCTGTGGTGGCGGGCACAGGACGGCCTGGTGAGGAGGGGCGGCCCGTAGGGTGGGAAGGGGTTGGGGAAGGGGCACGGGGTCCCCGTTAGCTGAGAGGGGCATGGCGAGAGGCAGTTCTCAGTGACGAGCGCAGGGGATGGGGGAGCCTGGCCCGAGGGGCGGCTTGGGCGGGCGGAGGGCGAGGGACCGGGGGCCGGGTGGGGGGTGACGGAGGCCGCCCTCCGGGGGCTGCGGGCTGCGGGCTGCGGACCCCGAACCCCGACGCGCGGCGGGCGCGGGCGGCTCCGGGGCCTGCCGGCCCTGCCTTCCGCTTCTGGGGGCAGTTTGGCCCCGCCCCAGGCTCCTCCCGGCCCCCGGGTCGGCGCGGGGGTGGGAATTGGAGCGGGCGCCGGGGAGGAGGGGCTGCAGCGCGGGGGGTCCCGCGCGCTGGCCTGCGCCGGCCGGAAGCCCCCCGCCCCTCCCGCCCCGCAGCCCCCCGCCCCCCCGCCCCGGCGCCGCCCGCTCCTCCGCCGCTTTTTCTCACAGGCCTGCGGAAGGCGCTCCGCGCCTCGTCCCGCGTGGGCGTGGGGATGGCGGTTCACACCGCAGGATGCCGGAACCCCGGGCACTTGCTCTCTCGGTTTAAAGCCTTGGAGAAAATAGGGGCGGGGTGTGCGGGGGAGCCAAGCCCTGAGGGATGGCGGCGGTGGCCGAGGCTGGCCCTCACCCCCATCTTCTCTGGGTTCCTGCCTTTTGCAGCCGTGCTGCGGCCTGGAGTCATGGCAGTGCCCTTTGTGGAGGACTGGGACTTGGTGCAAACCCTGGGAGAAGGCGCCTATGGAGAGTGAGTTCGGCGCTCCCACCCTGCGCTCGCACTCGCTTCAGTTTTCTGTCTGCTCTCTTGAGTACATACTCCCTTTGTGAGCTTTAAAACCATTGCTTTCTACTTAAATTCACCTTGCCCACATGTATATGACACCCAGTGCTCATCCCATCATGGGCTCTCCTCAGTGCCCGGTACCCCAGCCACCCCCATCCCCCCCAGCCACCCCATCCCCCCAGCCACCCCATCCCCCCAGTCACCCCCCATCCCCCCAGTCACCACCCCATTCCCCCCAGCCTCCACCCAGTCACCCCCCATCACCCCGATCCTCCCCCAGTCACCCCGCCATCCCCCCCAGTCACACCTCATCCTCACCCAGCCACCCCCCCATCCCCCCAGTCACCCCCATCCCCCCTCAGTGAATATCTGGCCTGGACTCCTCAGTGCCTGGTACTCAGTCACCCCCCCTCCCCCCCAGTCACCTCCCCATCCCCTCCAGTCACACCCCCATCTTCCCCCAGTCACCACCCCATCCCCCCAGTCACTCCCATCCTCCCCCAGTGACTATCTGGCCTGGACTCCTCAGTGCCTGGTACCCAGTCACCCCCCATCCCCCCCAGCCACCCCCCCATCCTCCCCATCCCCCCAGCCACCCCCTATTCTCTCCAGCCTCCCCACCAGTCACCCCCCATCCCCCCAGTCACCCCCATCCTCCCCCAGTGAATATCTAGCCTGGACTCCTCAGTGCCTGGTACCCAGTCACCCCCATCGTCCCCCAGTCACCCCCCATTCCCCCCGTCCCCCTGCCGCCCCCCCAGTCACACCCTATCCCCTCAGTCACCACCATCCTCCCCCAGTGAATATCTGGCCTGGACTCCTCAGTGCCTGGTACCCAGTCACCCCCCATCCCCCCGAGTCACACCCCATCCTCCCCCAGTCACCACCCTATCCTCCCCATCCCCCCAGTCACCCCATCCTCGCCCAGTCACCCCCCCATCCTCCCAAGTTGCCGCCCATCCTCCAGTCACCACCCTCCATCTCCCCCAGTCACCCCCCAGTCACCCCATCCCCCCCCCCGTCACCACCCCATCCCCGAGTCACCCCCATCCTCCCCCAGTCCCCCCATCCCCCCTCAGTCACCCCCATTCTCATCCAGTCACCCCCCATCCCCCCATCCTCCTTCCTTCCTTCCTGCAGCCCTTTGTTTTGCAGTTGTTGATTCTGATACAGTGGCATCTTAGAGAACAGGTGTTTGCGTTCGGGGTCTAAGAATTTTTTGGGTGCAAAAAAAAAAAAAAGAATTTTTTGGGTGCATATTCTTTTGTAAGGGTTATTTTTTTCTCATATGTATATATATATATATACACACACATACACACACACACAACATTTTCTTTTTTCTTTTTTTTTTTTTTTTTAGATTTTATTTATTCATGAAAGACAGAGAGGCAGAGACACAGGCAAAGGGAGAAGCAGGCAGGGAGCCTGTCATGAAACCCAATCCTGGGACTCCAGGATCACGCCCTGGGCTGAAGGCGGCGCTAAACCGCTGAGCCACCCAGGCTGCCCCAGATGTTTTTCTCTACAAAGAGTTAAAAGAGACCTGTGTAGTCAGTTTCTCCTCCCACATATTCCTTCCTGGGGTTTAAGCATAGCGGTTAAATGATTCTGGAGTTGGACCACCTGGTTGCAAATCTTCACTCATCACATACTAACACATTGGTTTGCGTTCTTTTTTAAAATATTTTATTTATTCATGAAAGACACACACAGAGAGAGGCAGAGACACAGGCAGAGGGAGAAGCAGGCTCCATGCAGGGAGCCCGATGTGGGACTCGATCCCGGGTCTCCAGGATCAGGCCCTGGGCTGAAGGCAGCGCTAAACTGCTGAGCCACCTGGGCTGCCCTGGTTTGCGATCTTAGGCAAACTTCAAAATCTGTGCCTCCATTTCCTCAGCTCTCCGAGGACAATAATACCCACCCCTTAGAACAGTTATCACAGACATACATAGTATGAGGTTAGGAAATCTTAAGTAGTGTTATTAAAATTATTGCTTTTTAATTTTTTTAAAAGATTTTATTTATTTATTCATGAGAGGCAGAGGGAGAAGCAGACTCCCTGCAGGGAGCCCGATGTGGGACTTGATCCGGGGTCTCCAGGATCACACCCTGGGCAGAAGGTAGCACTAAACCACTGAGCCACAGGTGCTGCCCATGTTATTAAAATTAAATGAATAGAGGGATCCCTGGGTGGGAGCAGGGATCCCTGCAGCGAGCCTGCTTCTCCCTCTGCCTGTGTCTTTGCCTCTCTCTCTGTCTCTCATGAATAAATTAAAAAAAAAATCTTTAAATGAATAGGGCATGTGTATATGTGATGTGGCCTGGAATTATTGTTACTCTATTTTAGTGTATTTTATCAAGTATTTATCAAATAACCTTTGGTGATATATCATCATGACTTCCTTAGAGCATTAGCTAGCCATCATTTTTCACATTTCGGAAAAATGTATGTGTTGAGAACACGGCAGAAACCATTTTCGTATTTTCTGTTGGGTAGAGAAAGTAATGAAGGTAAAACTGTTGGACAAGTCATATTTAATCTTTTAAAGTTTTCAAAGAAACAATTCAGGTGTGTTCCTTTTCTTTTTTAGGGTTCAACTTGCTGTGAATAGAAGAACTGAAGAAGCAGTTGCAGTCAAGATTGTAGACATGAAGCGTGCCATAGACTGTCCAGAAAATATTAAGAAAGAGATCTGTATCAATAAAATGTTAAATCATGAGAATGTAGTGAAATTCTATGGTCACAGGAGAGAAGGCAATATCCAGTATCTGTTTCTGGAGTACTGTAGTGGAGGAGAACTTTTTGACAGAATAGGTATGGAAATAATCTTTTTAAGATAGCTGTTCTATTAAACAAGTTTCTAAATTTTTTTTTTTTTTTAATATTGGGTCTGCTATTTGGTCATTGCCCATTCAGAACTGCTTATGCAACAGCGAAATTGGAGTAAGTTTTCTTGTTTTTGCAGGTTATATTAACACATTAAAACATATATGGAATCTTCAAGGAAAACTTTTTCCCCAAATTGTGTATGTAATTTTGGTTAGGATTGTGGTTTTGTAGAGTTTAAGAATGATAAACTAATAGGTTGAAGTATCATGAGTGCAATGTATTATGTACCTATACAGTGATTCTTCTTTGTAGACATTCCAGTTACATGAAATCATTACATACACTGACAGAGCCAAAGTAACAGCATGTTATATATCTTCTTCATGTTTAAATGAAATTAACTTGAGAATTTTCTAGAATTTCTTTGCCTATATTTAGTAAATTCTGTACTTGCTACTTCATTATTTTATGTAGATTTAAAGGCTTGATATTACAAAACACCAAGAAGTAAATAAAAATGTATTATGTGGATCAAAATTTATCGCTTAAAAATATTATTAGAATCTCTGGTACATATCTCAGAAGAGAGTTCAGTATAAGAGAAAATAAGAGGTTAAGAGGAGATCAAAATATTAAAAAGATCACTCAAAATAGAGCATTTCGTAATAAAACTGTATTTCCTGAAGGAACTTTGCAGTCATTCATGGCTTTGTAGTACGAGCGATTATATGAAGTTTCGTTTTGTTGTTAAATATTTAGTGAAATTAGTTTATATTTGCCCAGGCATACACTTTGGCAATTACATTTTTGGTGGTGGGGAAAATATTGCCATAGTGTTTAGAGGAAATTAGGAGAGAATTTGAAAGATGCTAAACAAATCATGGTTAGTGCAGAGATTTTAAGAGATTTTAAGGTATGCCTTCCATTCTTGATTTGGATAATAGTTTGTTGTTTCTCTCTGTAACTTTCCTGTGATGTTAATTTATTTTTGCCACATAACATGGGGAAATATGAGTTATTAAGTATTGTATGATTTAGTGGACATCAGGACATCAGAGTCTTTTAATTGTTACCACAAGATTTTGCTTGCCAGAGTACCATCGCAAAAATCTAACCTTAGGAGACTGTGTGGTTGATGCCTGATTATTGTTGTACCTGGCAAACTAACTTTCATAATTAATTCTTACAGAGCCAGACATAGGCATGCCTGAACAAGATGCTCAGAGGTTCTTTCACCAACTCATGGCAGGAGTGGTAGGTACAGTTGTCTCTTTTCCTTTTGCTTAAAATTATTATGAATGAAACAAGTACCCAAACTTTGGTATTTTCCCGTTTCTCTTTTAGGTTTATCTGCATGGTATTGGGATAACTCATAGGGATATTAAGCCAGAAAATCTTCTGTTGGATGACCGGGGTAAGTTTAACATTTTGTCACTGCTGCCTAGATTATTTTAATCCATACAAGGCAGATTTGAAGCTTTCGTATTATTGAAATTTTAGGGCAGAAAATCTGAAGAGTCTAGGAAGTTTGAGAGACTCGGTATATTTAGAGTTTACAAGTCCTTCCTGGTAATATTTGTGGATGAGATAGAGAAATCTAACCTAGATGCGAGAGTAACTCACTACACGAATAGTTGTACAAATAGTCTTAACTCTTCAATGAATTAATAAAGGAAAGTTTTTGTTGGAATACTCTGGACCTTAGGCTTATTCTATTTTTTTAAAATTTAGTTTGTTTCAAATTTTTATTTAAATTCCAGTTAGTTGACATATAGTGTAATAATAGTTTTAATAGAATTTAGTGATTCATCACTTACATATAATACCTAGTGCCCTTTTTAATACCCATAACCCTTAACCCATCCCCTGCCCTCCTCCCCTCCAGCAGCCCTCAGTTTGTTCCATATAGTTTATTTTAATGGTTCACCTCTCTCCCCACCCCCATGTTCATCTGTTTCATTTCTTAAATTCCATGTATGAGTGAAATCATACACTATCTGACTTATTTTGCTTAGCATAATACTCTCTATCTCTATCCAGGTCATTGGAAATGGCAAAATTCCATTTTTTTATGGCTTAGTAATATTCCAGAGTGTGTGTGTGTGTGTGTGTGTGTGTGTGTGTGTTTACACACACACACCACATCTTCTTTATCCATATATCAGTCAGTGGACATTTGGGGTCTTTCCATAATTTGGCTATTGTTGATAATGGTGCTATGAACAAAAGGGTGCATGTGTCCTTTCAGATCAGTATTTTTGTATCCTTTGGGTAAATACCTAGTAGTGCAATTGCTGGGTCATAGGGTAATTTTATTTTAATTAATTAGTTAATTGAAATTTTTTTACTTTTATTTTTTAATTTAAATTCAATTTGCCAACATATAGTATAACCTAGTGCTCATCCCTTCAGGTGCCCTCCTTAGTGCCCGTCACCCAGTTACCTCATCCCCTCACATACCTCCCCCTCCATAGCCCTTTGTTTCCCAGAGTATTTATGTATTTATTGAGAGAGAATGTGCACATGGGGTGGCAGAGGGACAAGCCAACTTCTTGCTGAGTGTGGAGCCTAACTTGGCCTTGATCTCAACATCCTGAGATCAAGACCCAAGTGGAAATCAAGAATTGAGGTTTAGGGGATCCCTGGGTGGCACAGCGGTTTGGCGCCTGCCTTTGGCCCAGGGCGCGATCCTGGAGACCCGGGATTGAATCCCACGTCGGGCTCCCGGTGCATGGAGCCTGCTTCTCCCTCTGCCTGTGTCTCTGCCTCTCTCTCTCTCTCTGTGTGCCTATCATTCATAGATAGATAGATAGATAGATAGATAGATAGATAGATAGATAGATAGAATTGGGGTTTAGTCAACTGCACCACCAAGGTGCCCTGGGGCGGTCCTATTTTTAACTTTTTGAGGAACCTCTCCATATTGTTTTCCAGAGTGGCTGCATCCAGTTTGCATTTCCATCAACAGTGCACAAGAGGGTTCCCCTTTTTCTGGATCTTCACCAACATCTGTTATTTCATGTGTTGTTGACAGGTGTGAGGTGATATCTCATTGTAGTTTTGATTTGCAGTTCCCTGATAATGAGTGATATTGAGCATCTATCTCTTCATGTGTTTGTTAGCCACCTGTATGTCTGCCTTGGAAAAAAGCTATTCATATCTTCTTCCTGTTTCTTAACTGGATTATTTGTTTATTGTGTGATGAGTTTGTTAAGTTCTTTATAGATCTTGGATACTAACCCTTTATCAGGTGTGTCATTTGCAGACATCTTCTCCTATTCTCTAGGTTGCTGTTTAGTTTTGTTGATTGTTTGCTTTGCTGTGAAGAAGCTTTTTATCTTGATGAAATCCCAGTAGTTCATTTTTGCTTTTGTTTCTCTTGCCTCCAGACACATGTCTAGTAAGAAGTTGCTACTGCTCATGTCAAAAGGGTTGCTGCTGTCCCCTCTAGGATTTTGATGGTTTCCTATCTCACATTTAGGTATTTTATCTACTTTAAATTTATTTTTGTGTATAGTGGTCCAGTTTCATTCTCTCTCTCTCTCTCTTTTTAAGGTTTATTTGGGAGAGAGAGAGTGTGTGCAGTGGGCAGGGACAGAGGGAGAGAGATACTCAAGTATCTGAGTGCAGAGACCGACACAGGGCTTGATTTCATGATCTGAGCCAAAACCAAGAGTCAAATATTCAACTGACTGCCATCCAGGGACCCCTAGTTTCATTCTTTCACATGTTGCCGTCCAGTTTTCCCAGCATTGTTTGTTGAAGAGACTGTTCTTTTTCCATTGAATGTTCTTTCCTATTTACTGAAGATTAGTTGATCAGATGGTTGTGAGCTTTCTATTCTGTTTCTAAGCTTTCTATTCTGTTTCATCGATCTATGTATCTGTTTTTGTGCCAGTACCATACCGTTTATATGATTACAGCTTTGTAATACAGTTTAAAGTCCGGAATTAGGATGCTCTAGCTTTGCTTTTCTTTTTCAAGATTGCTTTGGCTATTAGATCTTTTGTGGTTCCATAAAAATTTTAGGATTGTTTATTTTAGCTGTGTGAAAAATCCTGGTGTTATTTTGATAGGAATTGCATTAAATGTGTAGATTGCTTTGGATAATATAGACATTTTAAGAGTATTTGTTCTTCCAATCCATGAGCGTGGAATGTTTTTCCATTTCTTCATGTCCTTTTAAATTTCTTTTATAAGCATTCTATAGTTTTCAGAGTACAGATGTTTAACCACTTTGGTTAGTATTATTCCTAGGTATCTATATCTTATGGTTTTGGGTGCAATTGATTCCTTGATTTATTTTTCTGCTGTTTCATTATTGGTGTATAGAAATCCAACAGATTTTTGTACATTGATTTTATATCCTGTGAGTTTACTGAATTCGTGTTATTAGCTCTAGCAATTTTTTGGTGGAGTCTTTTGGGTTTTCTACATAGAGTATCATGTCACGTACAAATAATGAAACTTTGTCTTCTTCCTTGCTAATTTGGATGCCTTTTATTTCTTTTCTGATTGCTGAGGCTAAGATTTCCAGTACTATGTTAAATAACTGGTAAGAGTGGTCATCCTTATCTTGTTCCTGACTGTAGAGGGGAAGCTCTCAGTTTTTCTCCACTGAGTATAATACCAACTGTGGGTTTTAGAAATATGACTTCTATGATGTTGCTCTATATGTTCCCTCTATCCCTACTTTGTTGAGTGTTTTTATCAAGAATGGATGCCGTAGGGATGCCTGGGTGGCTCAGTAGTTGAGCATTTGCTTTTGGGTCAGTTTGTGATCCCAGGGTCCTGGGATCGAGTCCTTCATCGGACTCCCCACAGGAGCCTGCTCCTCCCTTTGCCTGTGTCTCTGCCTCTCTCTCTGTGTCTCATGAATAAATAAAATCTTAAAAAAAAAAAAAGGATGAATTCTGTACCTTGTCAAATGCTTTTCTACAGCTATTGAGAGGATCATAAGATTCTTATCCTTTCTTTTATTAGTGTGATGTATCACGTTGATTTATTTGTGAATATTGAATCAGCCTTGTAAACGAGGAATAAATCCCACTTGATTGTGGTGAATGACTCTTTTAATGTATTGTTGGATTCAATTTGCTATATCTTGTTGAGAATTTTTGCATCCATGTTTGTTAGGGATATTGACTGTAGTTCTCTTTTTTTAGTGGGTTATTTATTTATTTATGAATGAATGAATGAATGAATGAGGGACAGAGAGATAGAGACACAGGCAGAGGGAGAAGCAGGCTCCATGCAGGAAACCTGATGTGGGACTCCATCCCAGGTCTCCAGGATCACATCCTGGGCCGAAGGTGGCTCTAAACCACTGAGCCACCCCGGCTGCCCATGGGGTCTTTGTTTTTGGAATGAAAGTAATGCCGACCTTGTAGAATGCGTTTGGAAGTTTTCCTTATACTTCTATTTTTTGGAACAGTTTGAGAGTAGGTATTAACTCTGCTTTAAGTGTTTGGTAGAATTTCCCTGGGAAGCCATCTGGCCCTGGACTTTTGTTTATTGGGAGATTTTTTATTATTAATTAAATTTCTTTGCTGGTTATTGGTCTTTTCAAGTTTTCTATTTCTTCCTGTTTAGGTTTGGTAGTTTATATGTTTCTAGGAATTTATCCATTTCTTCAGACTTCCCAATTTGTTGGCATATAACTTTTCATACTACTCTCATAATTTTTTATATTTCTGTGTTGTTGGTTGGAATCTCTCTTCTCTCATTCTCATTCTTTATTTGGGTCCTTTCTCTTTTCTTTTTGATAAGTCCAGCTGGGGGTTTATTAATTTTATTCTTTTGAGGAATTAGCTCCTGGTTTCATTATTCTGCTGGGCATTTTCTGTTTCATTTATTTCTGGTCTTTTTTATTTCTTTCTTCTATATCTTTCTTCTGCTGGCTTTAGGCTTCATTTGTTCTTTTTGTAGCTCCTTTAGGTGTAAGGTTAGATTAAGATTTTTCTTGCTTCTTGAGGTAGGCCTGTATTGCTATATACTTCCCTCTTATGACTGCTTTTGCGGCATCCCAAAGGCTTTTTCGTGATTTCATTGTTTCCATGTGTTTTTTATTCCTTAACCTCCTGGTTGGCTCATTTATTCTTTGGATAGGCTGTTTTTTAATCTCCAGTATTTGTGGTCTTTCCAAATTTTTTCTGTGGTTGACTTCAAGTTTCATAATGTGTGGTCAGAAAATATACATGGTATAATCTCAATCTTTGTATACTTGTTGAGGCCTAATTTGTGACCCAGTATGTGGTCTGTTCTGGAGAATGTCCCATATGCCCTTGAAAGGAATGTGTATTCTGCTGCTTTAGGATGAAATGTTCAGAATATATCTGTTAAGTCCATCTGGTCTAGTGTGTCATTCAGAGCCATTGTTTCCTTGTTGATTTTCTTTTCTTTATTTTTTTTTTT